AAATTTCAGTTAACATTTTAAATTTAGAATTACACAAAAACTTCATTATTCATATGAAACCATAAATACCTAATCTTCACAAACGGTTTCTTGTTTCCAAATTCAAAATGTGTCAACACTTCAACATCAATCAATCTCACGCACCCGTGTCTGACCGTTGTCCGTCGTGGGCGTGGTCATACCGACCGGCCATTGGTCAAATAGCCCCCGGTCATACGCACAAAGTTGTGTGGACGCGGTCAGCGGCGTAAGGGTTTTCTGTTCGGAGTATTTTCCTATAAGGGTGAGTTCTTATTGGAGGGTGTTTTAATTTCTGATAGGACGATGTGTGGATGGTTGGATATAGGACAGGCTGTAGTATTGTATGGGTGTGTAGTGTTGGTCAGTGAAACGTGTACAAATAATAAAAATATGTACAGTAATATAACAGTGGTTGAATAAAGGTGTTTTTTAATTATGATTGTTGTTTTTTTTCATATTCATATTTTATTACAGTTTGATTAATTAATCTGTGGTTGATAAATATTTTAAGATAATGTGCCTTTAAATACAATGAACCTATACATTACCTACGTTGCATAGTCAGGTTGTTTTTGAGATACATACATGTGATGTGTAACAAACACAAATACACTTGACAACACCAAATTTATAACAGAAAATTTTAAAGTTACCGAACATATTTATACCATTCTATTATCCCACTATACAAATCTCACGGATTAAAATAAGTGTCATCATGAAAATAGGAGAAAAACAATTATATAAAAAAATGCAGTTATACTAATAAATGCGCAAGCGCACGTACCAACTCGTTTAGAGTCGCCATCTACAGAAAACTAATAGCACGAAGAATCTCGACTCCAATGCCATCTTTTGACTTGATGTTGTAACTGATTCTAAGAATCGATTTGTGAACTTGAAAAATCGAATCATATTTTCTAATAAGAAGTGTCTATTGGAAGAAGTAGGAATATGAAATGTTTACTGGAAAATATAGTTTCGTGTTGCAACAATAAAATGTTGAGCAACATTTTTTTCTAATTAGTGCAACAAATGCTTACAGTTATAGAATCCAAACTAATATTATAAATGCGAAAGTAACTCTGTCTGTCTGTCTTTTCTTCACGCCTATACTATTGAACCGATTTCTGTTATATTTGGTACATACCTACATAGTTTGGATCTCCAGGACATAGTTTTTTTTACCATAAATCTGCAGGAAGTCGCTATTCCACGCGGACGAAGTCACGGGCAAAAGCCAGTAAAATATAAAAAAAACTGTATTTGTTTATGAAAAAATAATTCTTCCGCACCCTTAATTTAAACCTATGAATTTATTTTGTTTAAATAACATAACATTAAGCGCACTCTCTTATAAACAATCAAAGGACCGATCAATTAAATATTGAAAGTACCACAAGATTAAAAAATGAAATTAACGACAACCACTCACTGTTTTGTTGCCAAATATAACGAGAAATCACAATAAAATTCCCTATCATATTAAAATTCTATTTTATTGTATAAGTAAAATTATAATAATCATATTATATTCTATTCAATACAAAATTAAATTTCGAAATCATTTTGCAAACATCTCTTGCAAACTTACTTTGTTTCAGCTACTCGGCGCTAGATGGCGGTAGTAGCTCACCAGTGAAAGCTCGTAGAACTTGACGAGAGGGTTGAATATTTTTTAAGTTTTGTTTGTAACTTCGATTCATGGTTGATTTTTTGTTTATATAGAATTATGTAGATATTTTATATTAAAAATGTTTTAATTTTGTAATGAAATTATGATCATATTTGAATAAATCAAGAAGAAACCACGAACATGTACTTTATTTCATAATCACATAGACTAAAGACATGAATAAAACAATATCGTGTTTGTAAATGACTGCGTAGTTGCAGTTTAATGGTCATCTTTCTAACTGTACGCCATTTACAGGAGATACATATTTTCGGGACCCAAAGTTTATGAAAAATACCCGACTCGGGAATCTAGCCCGAAACCACTTACTCAGCGGGCCGGGCAGTCACAATTTAGACCTTATTTTTTTATACCTCTTATAACTTACTTATAACCCTTAAGAGCATTTCGAAGTTATATCCAAAATGCTTTTTCTGCAACTATAAGCAGGTGTGCAACCTTTTTTTATGATAAACTAGCTACTCTCGCGCGGTTTCACCCGCTGCTCAGCTCCATTTGATCGTAGCTTGATGTTTTATAGCCTATAGACTCAGGAACATTGTAGCTATCTATCAGTGAAAGAATTTTAGCAATGTGACCAGCGGTTCCAAAGATTACCCCCTACACACAAACTTACAAACATACAAACTTACAAATTTTATCTCTTTATAATATTAATAATAATATAAACAACGAGTAAACGGAGCTGCTAATAATCTTTGTCACACGATGAAACACAACACAAGGATTACTTGATTTCAGCCGTGGTAGCAAGTGTAAGCCCAATAAGCTACCGCAGCCCTGGCCTAGAGCAGGAGACAGAACAGATTGGTTTTTAGTCAGTAAGAGTCTGACACTCCCTCAAACCCCACCCAGGGCAAAACAAAACATTTAATGATTATACTTCTAAGAAAAACTATATATGTACCTATCTATACCTATTTCATAAAACATTTACATAATAATATGCTTAATTTGAATTTGAAAAATATTAAGTAAATATCGATGGCGTCTTAAATTGTGTCCGGCATTCCTCAATAGGCCCTAGCAATAGGATATACCTTACGGACACATGGGAATTATAGACTGGAAAAAAAATAAACCCCAAAAATATTAGCAGAAAATTGCAAATTTATATTACTCTGTCTACCCCGCGGTTCAAAGTGAAATGCAGTGTTACCATTTTGTTGAGCCTCAAATTTTATTTCACCGATAACTTGAACTTTACCTGGTATTGTTTTGTATCTCGTAAGAAAATATAATTATGTAACCTATGTTTTAAAAATTATTGACATCATCTGTAGATACCGAAGTTACGCAAAGAAAATTGAATTGAAAACTGACTGAATAAAAGTTTATAACGTTGGTTTACGGTAGTAATGTCAAATAAACGTGTCTGTTGTTTGATTAAAGAATAGATAGTTTTTTCTTACAGTCATGTATATCAGTGACTGTTTATCTAAAAAAAAGAAACTGGGTTCAATTCTAGATATTGTGCAATTGTAAGTCAAACCAAATAGGCCGTAGCACCAAACTAACTTGTCCAATATTACTTACACTAATATACTTACGTCATAAATATGAACGACTTATCCTAAAGATTTATGAATTAGCTGGAGAAATTTGCATTGTAAATAACTGTGAACTCCTCATTATCGTCATTGAAATCATGAGCCCATGGCCGTCCACTGGGCATCTACATAATTGTACGTCACAGGGCTGCTGAATGTTCAGCTCTTTTCTTCTCACTGATAATATCACTCACCTAGCTGGAGGGCGCCCTACACTATGTTTTCTTAAACGTAATCTCCTCTCCAGAACACGTCTACTCCAACAGTCATCGATTCTTCGACAAATGTGACGTGCCATTGCCGCTACAGTTTGCTAATCCTTTGGCTATGTCGACTACTTTAGTTCTCTGTGAGATCACCTTGTTTCAGATTCGATCTTTCAGAGAATCTCAACTATGAACTTAGTGGTCACCAAAGCGATTGGCAATTGGATTGCTGCTAATGGGTGCGAATGTACTAACAGCCAAACTGTTTTTTTCTGGCAGGCACACGTAAATATAGACAAGGTATATATGTATTTCTGGCTTTATAATTTTATTTTCTTGTGTCTCTTTGTTTTAACTTTCAACTGTACTGTTGGCCCAGTGGCTGAGTAATTGATTACAAGGCAACATGTCACCAATTCGATGCCCCCATAGCACAACACATTCTGTGATGCACATACAGTTGTTCTGGTTCTAGGTGTAATAAACATGCAACTGTGCGTTTTTAAATGCACCAACGACACAGGAAAAATCATAGTTTAAGGAACAACATATTTGATTAACCTGATCCTTTTGAATTGTGCTCTTTCTCACCTTAGTTTTACCATACTCCCCACGCCCGACGGAAAAGTAAGACGATCTTCTATGTGGTGGAGGTACATTTACCAGGAGTCATTGAACTGAAGTTTTATATATTTACATTAATGTGCGTATAAGTACCATTATATGATCTACACACTTAGTGTATTTGGATACCATAGATAGACCTATTCATGACCATTGCCCGATCCCTCTCAAATCCATAACTATCTTAAACCCTTATCCCCAAAAGGATGAAAACACCATTAGATTATGGGTCGGCTCTATTGCCGACCTATGCCATAAAAACCACGGTGAAGAAAGCTTTTTGAGGAAATCTAAACTTATAATTTCTTATTATAAGGTTTAAAATAGCGAAACCGCCTTGAGCAAATATGGTGATTGATGCTCAAACCTTCTTTGAGTGAGAAGAGACCTTTGCTCAGCAGTGGGCACTTGTAGGTTGATAAAGTGTGATATGTCCAAGAAATGGTATCGTAAAAATGTTTCCTTATTTTGGTAATATATTGTTCAAGGAACTTTGTAGAACTTTGCCCATAATTATTTCAAGTCCTTTTCTTAATCTCTTATATTTTTTGGTTTATTCGGTTTCAGTCCATGCGGGAATCGAACCCGTGACCTATGACCTGAGATTGAAACGTTCTACCAGGAATTAAAATCAGGTAGAAACACACCACAAACCACAATCGCCATTGATACAAAATATTACACACATTGGGGGTAAATTAAAAGTCAAAATATTGATTAACAAATCGTGGATATTTATTGAAATAAAAATAATAAAAATGAAAAATAATAAAAACAGTTCATCTTTCACTTAGTTACACAATAAAATTTGTCTTAGTTCATTTTTTCTCTATTTTGTGTCCATTCGTCGTCCTCTTCATTTAATTTCTTTACATAAAAGAAACATATTGACATTTAAAAATGGAAAAATTAATCACAATTTTGCTTTTTTATTTTTCACATTTTTTTGTAATCTAACATAATAATTTATCTAAACTTTACTGACCACACGTTAAAAATAAATGATAACATTTATTAATTTTTTGGTTTGAATTTACAATTTATTTTTATAAGAATTTTTGAGCGAGAAACATGTTAGATGTTTGAGTAATTTATGTTAACATTCCTAGTGTGATTTTTAAAATATTTTTTCTAAACAACAGTTTTATTTATTTATATTTAAATTGTTGTTTGAAAAAATATTTTTTAAATACAAGAGGCAATGTGTGGATGGTTAGGTCTTGTTTACATGACGTTAAAAAGCTTACTGGATAAGTCATTTTTGTGTTAACGACATCTGAAGAAGACCTAAGCATGAAGGAGACAGATATGGACGACAAAAAGTTTCTATTATAATTTACTTATATTTATCTAATATAAATTCTATCATAATTTACATTAAGTACGTATACTGAAAGATTTCACGCTTGGACTAATTTAGGTACGAATGAAATTCACGAAGAAATTTATTAAAAAATAAAACTGGAATATTGGTTTCAGTCTTAATAAAATAACTAGCTTCCACAAGAAATAATAATAGCACATTAACGAATATCGATTTCACAGTGATATTTTTTTAATTTAATAATTTAATCGCTAATTTAAACATACAAGTACCTCATACGAATAACACCTACCATTAATCGATTCCAATTTCGCTTTCTACAACGCTTCAATAAATTATCGATTACAGGAAACTCACCGTTTTCTCACGAAATTTTGTTTTAACTCTTGAAATATTATCGTCTATAAATATGAACATCAATAGGTAGGTACTCGATTTACACAAATAAACTTACATCAAATATTTACACAAGTTTGTTTATCTAGGATAGGAAACATTTCGCTTATTATTGTACACGATACACTAAAATTACGAAACAGCTTACTCTTCAAACACATAACTACATCAAACTATGAAGATCCTAGAAAATACTGGAAAGAATTCTAATTTAATTGACACTATACAGCTTAAGAACTAAATAGTAAGTATATAAATCAACATAGCTAACTTTGGCATTGGTTTCCACATTTTTCTATAAATAAAAACATGTCAAAACAAGATCGAGAGAACATAACATAAAATCGCAGACGTACTTACAGCTTCAAACGAACAAAATGATAGAAAACTAACATCAACAATGCAACGGGAATCAACACTGTTCAGTACGAAGAAGATATGTTACAATACGAGTACAGTAACTAAATTAATGCCCTTCGGTGCAAACTTTTGGGCTCATATTGCGTGCGTATAAACAATAATATCGCCATTATTCAATCCTTAACACTAGAAATTGAACATAACTCGGCCTGGGTCCGGTCTACGCGAACGTTCATATCTTGCGTACTTTCTGTGGTAACGCGACGATACACGTGACCGGAGCAGACCTTAGAAGATCTGGCTGGGCGGCGCGGGCGGCGGCAGGCGGAGCCCGCCCCACGGGTAGAGTCACGAAGCCTCGTCACGGCACGCGTTAGAGTCATCGGAAAGAGCTAAGGGAGCACCATTACTTTGATTCACAACACACTTTCGCATATGCTTTTCAAGCGTCGACGGCACGGAGAAGGGCATCTCGCAAAACCTGCACCGGTAAACGTCCTTGCCCAGTCGTCCGTGCGTCTTCATGTGCCGCGTGAGCTTGGAGCTCTGTGCGCACGCGTATGAGCATAGTTCACATTTGTACGGCTTCTCCCCCGTATGGGAGCGCCGGTGAACTGTTAAGTTTGAGCAGTTCTTAAAAACTTTCCCGCAGAACTCGCAGGTATCATTACGCCGTCCCTCTTTCGATTTCAATAAAGGGTTCTGTAATAACCCGTTACCGCTGTTTTTGAGGCCATCAAATATGTTTTCTGGCGGCCTTTGCGCATGCAAGGTTGGTAACCACCACCCTTCACCCCTATCCATGTCCAATTTTATACGTTTGGACGCTTCGAAAGGGTTCTCAAAAGGGTTAAAAAGTGGATGAGGTTGAGGAGGCATCTTCGCAAACTCCTCTTTTAAACGCAATGCAGCGGTTGGTGGCATGCCATTCGGTTTATCACTCGGAGGTCCATTGTTATTATCTCTATCCTTAGCTAATTGCCACTTCAGAGAATTCCCTGATTCTTGCAAAGCTTGTTTAAAAGCTTCACTGTATTGAGCAATATTTGATAGTCCGAATTTGTCCATCAATTCACCAACAACAGATGCACTTGGTGCATTATTTGGCATTATAGGAGTCTGTTTCCTGGTTGGAGCAGATGGTGCACTGCTGTTTGAGACAGTTAAATCTTCCGCCTCTTCAACGTCATCTCCATCCTCATTTTCTTCTTCTTCTTCCCCATCTAATTCCTCGTCTTCTAATTCATCATCAGAATCGTCTTCTCCGGTATCACCACCAGATTCACCATCTTCCGTATTGGCATCTGGTGCTCTATGAATTTTCATGTGTCGCTTTAATTTAGAGGCTTTTTCAAAAGCTTCATCACATTCTGTACATTTGAATGGTTTCTCACCTGTGTGTGAGCGACGATGAACTATTAGGTTGTTTTCAAATCTAAATTTCTTGCCACAAAATTCACAAGAATGAACCCCTTCATCTGTATTACGTTTCGCAGGCGGCGTTGACGTAGGGCGCTCTGTTGGCGGTGCGTCAGCGGCTAGTGGTTCAATTCGACGTTCGGGTGAAGTTGAACTGTGCGGTCTCGTAGCTTCTCGAGGCGCATCCACCGTTCCGGGTCCGGCGCCCACCGGAGGAGTCTGTCCGACTCTGGAGGGCGACGGGGAAGCGAACGGAGGCGAATGCTTCCTGGGGCTAGGAGAGCTGGAATTGCCTGTGGCCGCCCCTGGACTGGTCGTACCGGCCAGTTGCCGCAAGCGCTGCGAGTAAAAATCCAGCTGGGGTTCAAGTGAAAGAGGTTGAGATACGGGTGGGGCTCTGTCACGGCCCGATAACGATGTAGGAACTACCGGAGGTCGGTCTGCCGGCGATGGGAAGGTCTGGTGTGGTGGCAGTGAGTTCGCTGCCACTGCAGCAGCTGCTGCCGCAAGGTTGAGACCATGATGACGAAACTGTTCTGATACTAGTTGTTCCATTCTAAATCGGTGATCGTGATGATTTGGCCTTGCAAAAAGAGGCGTAGGAGGAACTGATGGATGAGCCAGTGGCGGTAAGCTGCCTGGTAATGGCATCCTGAGTAAACCACCAACTCCAAAAGGGGAATGCATGTCTGGAGGTGGTAATAAAGGGTGATGGCGTAAGGAAGGTGGCGGAAGCGGTGCGCCCGTGGACGAACAGCCTGAGCTCGATGAAGACGTACTCGACGTGGAGTGGTTCTGCTTGCTGGGTTGCTGCTGGGGCATCGCCTCTACGTAGATCTTGACGCCGTGCACATGTTGTACGTGCTGTAGCAGTCTCCATGCGGAATGCACTCGTGCTTTGCACGTCGAACACACGTAGTTGCTAGGTTCTGTGGACAAGGAGATAAATTGGTTAAAACACGTAACTCCAAGCTGATCGACGAAGATGGAAACGCTTTCCGATGCAAGATTTACAGCAATATTAACACGGGCAAAGTGTCTAGTAATAGCTCTCACATATCGTAGTGTTGGGCCTAGGGTGGGTGCGTGGCGTGCATGTTAAGCAGTCGGAGGTCCAAGGGTTCGTGGCGCCGCGGTGAGTGATCGCCGCTCCGTGTCTCGCGTGATTCATGTACCTCTAAAATCTTATGAAATATACGGGGTTGGGATCACGTACGCACGCGCGGGTTAAGACGGTTGATATTGAAATCTATGTATGTAACAGTGGCTCGCTAAGGGAAAAATGAATAGAGGCTTTTTTTATTAAACGGAAGCTTAGTTGCCTTCATTTGAATATGGTCGATATATGAACGGGGCTTATGGTTCGAGATCGAGATATTTGTAATTGTGGTTTTTCTTGAAGTGAAATCTGAATCTTTATCTTGAAGTGAATACATATTTTTCTATTTGTTCTATTCCTAAATAACCTAATTCATTGGTTCCGCTCAATGGTTTAGGAGATGCGGTCAAGGTGCGTCCAGCCCGCCTCGCTGTGACAGTAATTTGATTGCTCATTGTTAACCCGAGACACATTTTATTGTGGAGACAATCACGTCTCAGTGATCTGCTAGTGATGTCCCAACATACATACAATGGTCGATAGAGAAATTGCGACTTTATAAATTAGATATTTTCCTTCAAATATATTGTTTTAATAAATATGTTTGCTTCTCTATTGTTATAGGGATGAACGTATAGATAGACTATTTTTGTAGACAGTCAAACTCACAACCAATCGCGTCATCCTTATCACGCTAATTTATAAACATTAGGAATCATCACAAGCAATGTAACTGAATTGGTAAGAAATAACTGATAATATTAAGTAGAATAAAATCGATTAAAAATTATCGACTTTGCGCTTCACTAGCTAGGTGGGCGCGGCAGATAAGCGATCTTCACTGTTAAGACGATTATTGAAATGTAACGGTCAGATTGTGACCGACCGGAAAGATGACACATACATGCTGTTTCATTTTTGTTCACAAAGAAAAAATAATGTTACACATTTTCTTTTATTCGTATTTCCTTTAACTCAACGGCATGAAGATGCCCTTTAAGATCACTTTGCGCATAGAATAATGAGTGTCAGTGTAATGGAATATAATATTTTTCAAAAATATTTTAATCCACGTTTGCAATGATAAGCCACTGAAGAAATTAAAGCCAAATTACCTATATATTATTAAAACATGAGAAATAAAATAACAAAATTAGGATTATTTTGGTTCATTACAACAAGATTTCTTCGTATGTATTGTATCCAACTAACAGACGTTCATAAACGCTTGACTTCATATAATATTTCCTATCAAACATTAGCCAGAGAATCTTACCATCCTGTATAAAGATTTATCACGATATCAATATTGTGACCTTTTTGTTCGGAGGTACCGACCATTGTTCATTGTGTTGAGTTTTGGTCATCATACGGTACTGGACGGATAGAACGAACATGTATTAAATACTTTTTTAAATCACTTCAAATATAAAATATGCAAATAATCTAAATTTCTTAAATTAAAATCTCCAATAAATGAAACTATATTTAAATTCTATAGCCAAACATTATAGAATATAAATTGACAAATGTTTAAAAATTTCAATTAGTTAAAAGAATAATAGAGAAGTCGGTTAAAAAGTTTAGTAGCACATATTGAAATATATCCTTACTTTACGAAAACTACATATTTCATATAATTAGGGTGTAGACTACACCCTCATCAGACCGAGTATGAAACAAATAATTATTAATAATACGTTATACATAAATTCGTCATACTTTTCGTCATAATTCGTTTAATAATTATTATTTAAGTATATTTATACATATGTACAGTGATATTATCCTAAAACATTTTTCCTTGACCATTTAAAAAAAGTACCGGAATATCTAAAAATATCTAATACAGTAATCGATAACAAACAACCGGACGATCTTACAGGCTTAATCTTCTGATAATCTTATCATCAATATTTTTGCTAACCGTAGGTACGATAAGCGTCAAAATTTACTCGGTAAGGTCAGCGTAAGTATCGAGACCGATCTCCGGAATCGATTGATAGAGGATTACGATTAGTTGCTTATAATTTTCAATGGTTGATCGATAACAATCTGTGGTCATATTATGTGGTTCATATAATTATGTGTGGCTGACGTGTGGGTGTGTGGTCGGATTAAAACGGTGTGTGATAGTTCGCTATTATAAATATATGTATATTATGTGTCATATATATGTATATGTATGAGTATTGTACAGGCTCGCAAAGTTGTTAAATTAAAGTAAGCTAACATTTATTGTTTAACTGTTAAAGAATTTATTTGAAATAATTAATATTTAATTTTATATATAACATTGATAACACAATATAATTTAGTACTTTGACAATAAATATAACAACTTGATCTACCATGTTTGCAATTAAAAATGTAAAAAGTTTCTAATAATTGCATTTGTTACTCAAAAACTGTCATTTAACGCACAGGGAATCCTGGTTTAGGAGACTGTGATAATGTGTTGAAATGAAAACTTTTATCTCAATTATTTTTTTTTTTTTTTTGTTGTTTTAAATTTTTATTATGCCTGTACTAAAATAAAATTAATTTAGAACAGAGACAGTTAGAACTATTTGGATACTGGATACAAAAGATATGCTTTTTTTAAAAACACTCTGTACTGAGTTAATCTATATCGTCTTATACCTAATAATAGTGCCGAATATATGTATATAAATAAATTAATAGAGATAGCTATCTGTGCATCGTAGAATAATTGAAATGATGTGTGGGATTTAAAACTGGTTATGTCTAACAAAACTTTAAAATACATTATCAGCTTAATACCTCGTTTGGTATATAGTAAAAAGTTTCATCTTAAACTTTCGATATTTACTTGAACTTTCATTATTATAAACTAAACAACAATCTGTAAAACAAAATCCTAGTAGTCGATTAAAACTATCTATAACTATATTACCAATAATTAATCTGCAATTATAGCTATAACAGAATATCAATACATTACAGAGTCATCCGGAAAACGCACCGGTTATCCGGCCAGGAGAAAAAATGTGTAACGAGCGTTTCGATTTCAAAAGGCAATCGCTGATTACCGGGCATTGTGTGGGTTGGGAGCCACCGGGAGTGAAATTTTTAAACACGGGGGCCAAAACGGGGCCCTGAATGACCCCCGAAGTGGGTGTCGGGGGGACCGGGTGGACGTTTAGCTCGGGAAAGCGTATCCGGTTGTCGCGGTCGTGGAGTACAATAATTTATGTGCATGCAGTTTTTGGTAATTTTATTGGATTTGAATTATTAGAAGGTTATTGTTACATTGGTTCTTAAGGAGGATGTACTTTGTAGGTTATTTTTCTACAGGTTGCTTTACCTTTATGTAATAATTATCTATGATGATTCTTTTGATGAAATGAAATGCAAGTTGAAGTTAATAGAAACTGAGCTTATACAATTCATTAATATTTTTACGTCTTACACAAATTATAATCGTAAATCCCTAACCACTATTATTATACCACTCTCACCAATTTCAAAATATCATAAAAATGTAAACGAATTTTCCAGGGAAAATAAAACTTCAAACTGAAAACGCGAATTCTAACGGCCCATATAGAACATTCCTCGACCGGATGCCGCCAGCGCTGCTTCCGGCGACGACAACAGTTGTTCGCACCCCAGCGCCTCTCGCGGACACCACTAGAAACTACAGACAACCTCCCGAGTGTGTACGACGGTATTGTTTATTTTGATATACGCCTAGGTATCTATCTATGTAACGGTTTTGAAATTTTAAATTTTTTACGTGATATGTTTAAGTTTCAGTTTCATTTTGATTAGCATAGCTTTGAAGAGGGGGTCTACTAATTTAGTAGTGATATAAATAATACAAACGATTGACTAAGAAAACTTAGATTATAACTTAAAAAACCATTAAGTATCACCCAAACTCACAAATTCCAACGCCTATCAAGTCAAAAAGAAAATTCTCGAAGATATTCTCAATTTAAAAAATGCGTTTGTATTTCAGAATATTTTTGAATCTATGCGAAATCTGAAATAAGGACGGCGTTCCGTGGAGAGTCGCCATCGACTTGTTATGCGGCGGATGTCCGTCGCGCCGCTGCGCTGAATGACCGCCTTCCCCTTCCGCCCGCTCACCGCTAACCCCCCTTGGGATTAGGACATAGTGCCAGCGATTAGCGGGTATGAAGAAGATGAGTTGATAGTATTTTTACTGCGAAGGTGACGTCCATCCAGTACTCAATGCAATTCAGAAAATTGTATTTTACTACTTGAAAAGGCAAGGCTTTAGTTATGTATATGTTTCTATCTTGTGTCCAATTATTTATTTTTTCTTAACTATTCACGGAAATGACATGTAATCTTTACAACAGTCGAAGTCTACAAAGATTTATTTTAACAAATACAATCTTGTTTTATCTCTTTAGTAAGTCAACGGTAATGTAAAGAAATTGTCGTACTAGTTTTTGGGTCATCCCAATCCCGCTAGCAATGTGGCCTCAGCCTTATGCTAGTGCGAAGTTATAACCCCGAATGGTGCAAATTGTGACCCATAACTGAGAGACATGTTGTTGTTTGCGAAGAAAAATAAAAATTTTGCAAATACTAGGTACTTTCTTGGCCGACTCTGGTTGGTCGCCAAGTAAACTGAACGTTTATCGATTTGGTATGTATCTCATATTGCTTATGTAGAAAATTGCACTAATGCAAAAACTATGCACATATTTTTTTGTTCTAAACCGGACTTAGAATCAATCTACTGATATGGTTTCTATTAAAAATTTCGATTTGAAAAGACAAATTTCCACTTTAAAATATCTCAAAGAATATCGAATATTGTAGAGGTAATTT